TAAGTATAACATAAGATTTTGTGGTATCCACTTGTGTAAATATTTTAATTTGAAGATCGAATCCTTTCATTGTATTCATATAGGGTCAAGGAGTGTAGCTGTAAAAAATCATCAAAATCGAAGTTAAAATAACCGTTAAATCGTGATTTTTCGTTTATAACTATCAAAATTAGTTTCATAGAATTCGTATCCAATCAAGTTCAATGGTGTGTATATATATATATATATATATATATTAAGTAGATTTAAATTTATTTATTTTGTATGTATAACACTTAAGAAATTGAATCGTATGTATATTTAAGCCAATCCAATGATCACCAATTTTTTAAAAATTTAATTTAATATATATATATATATATAATTATTATAGTTTTTAGGGATATAAAATTTAATTTAATATATATATATATATAATTTAATATATATATATATATACACACTTTATGTCGCTTAAAAGCGACACTAGTATTTAAAATTTATTAAAATAATGTTTACGTCGGTTTAAAAGCGACACTAGTATTTAAAAATTATTAAAATATATGTTTACGTCGGTTTAAAAGCGACATAAACATTTAATAACGCTTATAAGCGACAGTAAATCCGACGTCATGTTCAGTTAGTGTCGCAACTGCCTAATCCGCCACTATATTAGATTAAAGCGACACCACCCTCCGACACTATAGCCCCCTTTTGTAGTAGTGTAAACACAAAGGTTTGAACAACGGCCGTATTGAAACTACAATGACAACAATGACGAACATATATTTAACACGGATAATGAGCAAGATTGGAGTTGTAAAACACGTACATTGTGAATAGTGATTTGGTGCTTCTTTTGGAAGTGTTGAATTATCTCTTGCACTAGCCATTGGAGCTAAGGCAATTAAACAATATGGCAAAAATACACAGTAATCCATTGTGGATCTGCGAGGTAATATAAAAGAAATTCCATACATAATCGCTGTCTATTAATAAACTGCACGTCATCCACATCTGTAATGTTTAATTTAATTTACCGGGGGTGGCCCATTCGCATGCATAAACTTTGGGGGTGCATGGATTGCCATGTTGGGTTGGCTTACGTGACGTACCCAAGTCAGAGCTCATATATGGGACATGGAAAATTAAAGGAATTTTTTTTGAAGTATTCAATATTCAAACGGGTATTTTACGTGGAGAGGTACAAAAAAATATCATTTTCTTCACTTATTTAATAACATGTAGAATACTGTTTAAATACACGGTACTTGAAAATCTCTCTATCTTATATGACAAAGTAAAAAAACTGGATCCAACTTCCAGCAGGATTTACATCTCCAGATATGTTGTTTTTTTATGAGTGCAACTTTCCTTTTCATAAACCATTGCCAACAATCACATCCTCATCTTCTCAACAAATTCAATCTTCCCTTATCCCATCAACTCTAACATTTACCTCTCTCTCAACCTACTTCACCTATCCCAAACACACCTTAACCTCAAACATCATCCAATACATCACAACACCAAATACTTTCCAAGTTTCTTACTCTTCACAAACACCACAATCTCAATCCAATACCAATACCAATACCAACACCAATATCCATTTTATGCAAACCATATCAAAATCTGGTAATTTCAAACCTAAAGCCCTAACTGCTACTAAATATCCAATACCATCTCATCCAGTCTTGATTATGTCCCATCTACCTATCTCCAAGCATCTAAGCACCCTCATTGGAGACAAGCAATGCAAGAAGAGTTAAATGCTCATCTAAATACTGGCACTTGGTCCTTGGTTCCTTCCTCTCCATCTCATAATCTTGTAGGCTGCAAGTGAGTGTTTTGAATCAAGAAGAAGCCTAATGGTTCAATAGACATGTATAAATCTCGGCTTGTTGCCATGGGATTCCATCAATAGGAAGGGTTAGACTTGTAACATCCCACATCGACCAACGAAGAGAGGGTGATGTGCCTTATATGTACATACCCACCTCCATATAGCACGAGGCCTTTTGGGGACTCACTGGCTTCGGATTCCATTGGAACTCCGAATTTACACTACTACAATATTAGCTTTAGGTGTCGGACGATCCTGACGGTTAATAAGTTATTCTGATGGATAAAAGATTTCCGACACATAATTTATTTACTGTCGGATTAAAGTTACTTTCTGTCGGATATATTCGACATAAATTCCTGGCGGATTTTTCCTGACGGATTTAACCGCCATGAAATTATTATAACCCTCAGTATTTTTGAATTCTTTTTTTTTAATATTTTAAAGATATTCTGGCGGTTTCTAAGTTAATTGTGGCGGTTATAACCGACATAAATTGACTATTTTATTATTTTAGAATCTGATGGTCATTATTTTAGTATTTTGCCGGTTATAACCGACAGAAATTGATTATTTTATCATTTTAAAATGTTACATTCATTAAAAATAAATAAAAAAATGGTGTAAATATTTTGTATTCACTCACGGTCCCATTACCTAATCTCTGAATGTTTTTTTTTTTTTTTGCGATTTTTTACAAATGCTATCTCGGAGTACATACAAACGGTTGAATCGTTGAAACTAGTTTCGTAAAATGCATGTCCTATCAAATTGATAGATTTAACAAACACTTAAGAGTTAATGTTATACTTCCATTAAGTATAAAAAATTATCCACTAGTGTAAATATTTTAAATTGAAGATCGAATTTGTTCAATGCATTCTTATAGGGTCGAGGAGTGTAGCTGTAAAAAATCATCAAAATCGAAGCTAAAATAACCGTTAAATTGTGATTTTTTGTTTATAATCATTGAAAATTTATGTTTCATTACCTAATCTCTTAATGTTTGTTTTTTACAATTTTTTACGTATGCAATCTCGGAGTGTGTACAAATAAGTTTAACGGTTGGATCGTTGAAAAAAGTTAAATAGAATGTATATTGCATCAAAATTGTAGATTAAACAAACACTAGTTAATATTATACTTCTATTAAGTATAAAATAAGATTTTGTGGTATCCACTAGTGTAAATATTTTAAATTGAATATCAAATTTATTCATTACATTCTTATAGGATCGAGGAGTGTAGCTGTAAAAAAATCATCAAAATCGGAGCTAAAATAACCGTTAAATTGTGATTTTTCTTTTATAACCGTCGAAAACTTTTGTTCCGTTACCTAATCTCTGAATGTTTGTTTTTTACGATTTTTTACGTATGCAATCTCGGAGTGTGTACAAATAAGTTTGATGGTTGGATCGTTGAAAAAAGTTTTGTAGAATGCATATTGCGTCAAAACGGTAGATTAAACAAACACTTGAAAGTTAATATTATACTTCTATTAAGTATAAAATAAGATTTTGTGTTATCCACTAGTGTAAATATTTTAAATTAAAGATCAAATTTATTCATTACATTCTTATAGGGTCGAGGAGTGTAGCTGTAAAAAATCATCAAAATCGGAGCTAAAATAACCGTTGAATTGTGAATTTTCTTTTATAACCATCGAAAACTTTTGTTCCGTTACCTAATCTCTGAATGTTTGTTTTTTACGATTTTTTACGTATAAAATCTCGGAGTGTGTACAAATAAGTTTGACGGTTGGATCGTTGAAAAAAGCTTCTTAGAATGCGTATCACATCAAAACAGTAGATTAAACAAACACTTAGAGTTAATGTTATACTTCCATTAAGAATAAAATAAGATTTTGTAATATCCACTAGTGTAAATATTTTAAATTAAAGATCAAATTTATTCATTACATTCTTATAGGGTCAAAAAGTGAAGCTGTAAAAAATCATCAAAATCGGAGCTAAAATAACCGTTAAATTGGGATTTTTCGTTTATAATTGTCGAAAACTTTTGTTCTGTTACGTAATCTCTGAATGTTTATTTTTTACAATTTTTTACGTATGTAATCTCGGAGTGTGTACAAATAAGTTTGACGGTTGGATCGTTGAAAAACGTTTGGTAGAATGCATATTGTGTCAAAACGGTAGATTAAACAAACACTTAGAGTTAATATTATATTTATATTAAGTATAAAATAAGATTTTGTGTTATCCACTAGTGTAAATATTTTAAATTAAAGATCAAATTTATTCATTACACTCTTATAGGGTCGAGCAGTGTAGCTGTAAAAAATCATCAAAATCAGAGCTAAATAACCGTTAAATTGTGATTTTTCGTTTATAACCATCGAAAACTTTTGTTCTGTTACATAATCTCTGAATGTTTTTTTTTTACGATTTTTTACGTATGCAATCTCGAAGTGTGTACAAATAAGTTTGACGGTTGGATCGTTGAAAAAAGTTTCGTAGAATGCATATTGCGTCAAAACAGTAGATTAAACAAACACCTAGAGTTAATATTATACTTCTATTAAGTATAAAATAAGATTTTATGGTATCCACTAGTGTAAATATTTTAAATTAAAGATCAAATTTATTTATTACATTCTTATAGGGTTGAGGTGTGAAAAGTGTGAAAAGTAATTTGTGCTAAGTAATTTGTTTATTACATTCTTAAATATTTTAAATTAAAGATCAAAATTTATTTATTTTCAAGTGTGAAAAGTAATTTGAAGTGTGATGACATTTTCATTGTACAATTATATTTTTGTTTCTTTATTGCATATTTAACATGGATTATTATCTATTAAACCAAACAATTATTTATTTTCACAAAAAAAAAATTATTTATTTAATTTTAAAAAACGTATTATATTTAAATACATATTATCTATTTATTTACTACACAATTATTATTTTAAATTTTGAAATCGTAACAAAATTTTGGGGGGAATTTAAAATTTTGGGAGGGAATTTAAAATTTTGGTTTTGGGAGGGAATTTAAAATTTTGGGCGGAAATTTTTTTCCACCATTTTTTTCTGTCGGTTATAACCGACAGGAATGAACAATCTCTTTAAATTTTTGTCGGTTTATATTTAAAAAAATATTTCTGTCGGTTAAAACCGACAGCAATGTTAATTTTCCAACATAAAACCCTCCAACTCTTCCTTGCGCATGTGCCTTCTCCCTTCCCCCTTTTCTCCTCTCCTCATTTCCTTCTCATTTTCTTCTCTCCTCATTTACTTCCAGTTCAACATCCACACCCACATCCAAAAGAGTTTTCTCCAATACCCACTTGGAAATGCTTCTCCTATGAAGAGATTTCTGATACCACAAATGCTTTTAGCTCAGGTAGGTTTTTGTTTGTTTTCCTTCAAAAACTGTTTGATGTTTTCGAGGATTTTTGAGTGATTGAAATTTATATAGTATTCATATTTTGTGATGTGGGTTTTGGCAGAAAATCTATTTGGGAAAAGAGGGTATGCAGAAGTTTATAGAGGACGGCGGTGCGATCCAAATCCAGGAGGATCCAGGTGCACCCGGCGGATGCGGCACCGGTCGCGAAGAGGTCCAGCTCCCACGACGACCTTCGGGGCTTCAAGTTCAAGATGGAGAAAGTCACGATCTTGAGGCGCGGAGAGTCGCTGGACTCGATGATGAATGAAAAGGGTGGTTTGGCTGGGATCAGGACTGGGAGGCTACGGCCCAGGCCAGAAATGGTGCAGAAGACCGACATGTATGCCGGATCAGCGTTCGTGGTGTCGCCGGAGCCGAGCTCGCTCCCGTTGCCGTCATTTTCGAGGAAGAAGCAGGTGCTGAAGGTCATCGACGACGACTCAGCGACTCGAGACGACGTACCTGTCTGCCTGTTTGGATCATTGTTGATTTCGACTTTATTAGATCTTGAATCATTTTTTGGATTTTGGTTTTCGGTGATTGATGTTCTGTCTGGCGAATGAATTTTTGAGTATTTTTCTTGTGAATGATCAGATTGATGAATTGAATATTGCTTCTTATTTGGTTTTTTTTATTTTAAGAAATCGAAAACCCAGTTTTCTGGTTTTCTGGTAAATCAATGAGAGACCCAGTTGCTGAAATTTGATGGATTGAGAAGATAATGATATATTTGATTACCACATTATATTAGCATTGTTGTAAAGAAATGTATTACTGATTGTAATCTGTTGTGTGAAGTTTCCTGTTGCATGGTTTGTTGATCATTTTGGTACGTCGTCTCTGCGAATTTGATAATTGCCCAATTGCTTGAGTGAGTATGCATGTAAATATAAATAGAAAACCTGGAAAATGCAGTGAATGCTGCAGAAAGTGGTTGTTTTTATTTTTTTTATTATTAATATATGTTCTGTCGGTTTTAACCGACAGAAAGTGTCTTATTTATTTATTATAAATATATATCCTGTCGGTTATAGCAGACACAAATTCTGACGGTTCTTGTATTTTCTGTCGGTTGGAACCAACACAATTACTGTCGGTTTTAAAGAATTTTCTGTCGGAAAATTCATTTCCTGACGCAGGCAATTCTGTCGCTTATTATATCCGCCACTGCAACCATTTTCTGTCGGATTTTGCTTAAAATCCCTCAGTAATAACCTTTTCTTGTCGTTTTTATTTGTGCCAGTAATGGGTAGTTTTGTAGTAGTGTTAAGCGAGTTCGAGCAAGAGCAATCCTATGATGGGTGACCCACTGGGAAGTTGCTCGTGAGTTCCCAAAAACAAAAGCATGAGGGCGTGGCCAGGCCCAAAGATGACAATATCATGCTACGGTGGAGCCGGGTCTGGGATGTGACAGAATAGTATCATAGCCACTCTGCAGTGTGGTGCGAGTGTGCCGACGAGGATGTCGAACCCCTAAGGGGGGTGGATTGTAACATCCCACATCGAACAACGGAGAGGAGGTGATGTGCCTTATATGTACATGCCCACCTCCATATAGCACGAGGCCTTTTGGGAACTCACTAGCTTCGGATTCCATAGGAACTCCGAAGTTAAGCGAGTTCGGGCGAGAACGGTCCTAGGATGGGTGACCTATTGGGAAGTTCTCGTATGAGTTCCCAGAAACAAAACCATGAGGGCGAGGCAGGGGCCGAAAACGGATAATATTGTGTTACGGCGGAGCCGGGACTGGGATATGACAAGACTACACTGAAACATTCAGTCATGTAGCCAAAGCTGTAACAATTAGACTTCTTCTCACCTTGGTTGCCTAATATGATTGGTTTCTTAACCAACTTGATGTGAGTAATGCTTTGCATGGTACTCTCACATAATAAGTGTTTATGCAACAACCTCCTAGATTTGAGGGTTCTACACATCCAAGTTTTGTATGTAAGTTGCATAAGTCCTTGTATGGAATCAAACAAGCTCCAAAAGCTCAATGGTGCATTACTTTTCTGGGCTTTGGTGGTTCACAATCTGATAATTCCTTGTTTGTCAAGAAAGATCCCTATTTGGGTTTCATCCTAGTTTATGTTGATGACATTCTTGTCACTGGTCCATCTCCTCAAGCTTGCAAGCAGGTTATTCAACTGTTGAGTGCTCTATTTCCTATCAAGGATCTTGGTTCATTACATTACTTTCTTGGCATTAAAGTCGAAAGGTCTTCAAAGGTATCTTCATATCTCAAACCAAAAGGTATTCAAAGGTATCTTCATATCTCAAACTAAGTACATTCAGAATTTGTTACAAAATGTCAAAATGGATGGTGCTAAACCATGTGTTACTCCCCTCAGCACATCTAAACTTGATCATGATTCTCCTCTCTTGAACAATCCCATTGAGTATAGATCACTTGTAGCAGCACTACAATACCTCACATGGACCAGACTAGAGTCACTAGATCTTTCTTTTGCAGTGAACTTTGTTTGTTAGCTTATGCATTGTCTCAAAGTTTATCATCTTCAAGCAGTTAAGAAAATTCTCAGGTATCTAAAAAGATCATTGATCTTAGCCTACGGTTTTCTAAGTGCTCTTCTATTCCCAGTATAAATGCCTACTGAGATGCAGATTGGGCAGGTTGTACACTTGATAAAAAAAAACATTGGTGGTTTCTGGGCAACTCTATCATTAGATGGAGTGCCAAAAAGCAACCTAAAGTGGCAAGATCCTCCATAGAGGCTGAATATAGGTCATTGGCTAACACTGCTGCAGAAATTACATAGTTCTGCAAGCTTCTAGTTGACATTGGTTTTTAATTACCTTGTAATCCAAAGTTGTGATGTGATAATATATCAGCCATCTCTATGGCCAAGAACCCTATTTTCCATGCTAGGACTAAGCATGTTGAAATAGACTACCACTGCATTTGTGAAAAAGTTTTGGTACAAGAAATCTCTGTTCATTTTGTTTGTTCAAAAGATCAAGTGGTTGATGTCTATACTAAAGCTTTGTCCAAATCCAGGTTCATCTTTCTCAGAGACAAACTTGCACTTCGACAGCCTCAGTTTAGTTTGGGAGATATTAAGGGTAAAAGTGTAAATGACATTGTATAAGATATTCCTTAAATATTGGACGGTTTGTTGTGGTTAATTATATGGAGTGTTTTCTTATTGGTTGAAGATACATGTATATATACAGGTTGTAATGTTATTCCAATCATTCAATAAAAATATTATTTCCCAACACCATCAACATCTTGCATATGCCTCTATCTCAAAAAGGTAGGATTTCTCGACAGAGCCGTCCGCATAGTCAAGTAAATAGGTTCTCGGCAAAGTCGTCCGCATAGAGTGAAGTAAATTTAAAATACAGAGATTTGATTGATCTTGTGATTGGGTTATGCTAGTCGACTCTAGGTTCAAAGCTATAGACAAAACAAAATAACAAAAACAAACAATTAAAGTTTATTAATATATATATAATGAAAGCAAGACAATAATGTTACAACTGTTGAATCTCACATCGGTCGTAGTAAAAGATAAGTAATAGTTTAAATATTCTAACCCCGCTCTAACTAACACCAAGACCTTTTATGATAAAACCCCACACCTGACGGATTGTGCAGGTGGTAATTACCAAGTTGGGTACAATATCGGTGTTGTTAGAAGTGGGCCGTATGGCTCGTCTCTCTGATAATTCTACATGGTATCCGAGCCAAAGAGCGGGCCCGTATTGTACTACCACGTGATGGGTGGGTCCCCTTGGCCCTGCACGAACAACAACAAATTCTTATTCTACTAAGTGAGGTCGGTTGGTATGAATTCTAAAACGTCGTTTCGTTTGGTTTTGCGCCAAGTCTTCATTAGCTCTAGGTACCACATATCTTTTTTTAGAGTCTCTTCTCAAGTCTTCCTAAGTCTTTCTATACCCCGTTTGCCCTAGGCCTTTATCTCATAATCGCATTTTCTAACCGAAGCATTTGTATATCTTCGTTTCACATGTCCAAACCACATTAACTTTCTCTCCATACAGGTTATTTGTATAAAATTGATACACTTTCTAAGATATTTTCTAATACAGGGTTAACTCGATCATTGTTTGTAGAAAATACCTATATTGAAAAGTGTACAATGTTGCTGGCTCCTGACATAATAGAGTCTGGATGTGATTTTATGCAGATATCTAGCTAGTACATTACAACTATGTTTCCCCTGTCGAACGTTTTGTTTATGAGGTTTTCTCTTCGCTTGCAGCCTTATGTATAGTAGTGGTGACAAAAAAGTACTACAAGGCCTGAGGCCACATAGATGAGAGAGGCCGTACATTTGAACCAGAGAGGAAATGGGATTGTGACGGAAATGAAGAAGGCGGTGACTCCAAAGAAGACACCGAAATAATGGAAGAGATGAACTATTATCCGTGGAGAGTTGGAGTACTGGATAAATTTGCTAACCATTATACAAGTAAAGGCAAGTAGGATTGCGAGACCGAGAAAGCAAAAGGTTAGAGGGAGCTGGTTGGAGTGAAGTTGGATAGGAATGAGAGCCATTCCAATGGCTGTCGACAAGCAATACGCCACGATAATCTTCGCCCAGTCTAAGTTGTGCTTCCTAGTCCTAGAGCTGGCGGCGGCAGCAGGCAGCAGCAGTGGTGGTGGTGGTTGATCAGCCGGTACTATTGTTTCTAGGTCAAGATCATTATCCATCGCGCTGGTGAGTACCTTGTTGAGTAGTTGCTGCAAAAATGCCTGAAGGTATTGATAAGCACTAGCGATATAGTACTTCATACTTGTTGCTAAGAACCCTACACTACACAGCTTGGGATCGAGGGAGAGGGAGAGAGTTGGAATAAGTTGTTAAGCCCATCAGACAGAATTGGTAGATTTTATACAACTGGGGCAGAGCTAGGCTTACGTAGTTTTTTTTTTTTTTTGGTAAAACTAGGCTTACGTAGTTACCAGCACTATGATACAGGGAGCATTATAAGACTGGGGCCCCTTCTTAGTCATAGTGGGAAGTTCCACTAAACCATAAAACACCATATAGCGTTTTTTAACACAACTTTTATCCTGCTCCCTCTTAGCATGTGCATGAGCATAGACATTCCACACGGACGGACGGACAACATTTGCTATCTAAATTTAAAAATATATCTCCAACACCTTCGTCAAGTCGAAACGATTTAAAAAATTAATCTTAGTTTTAAATATATCTCCAACACCTTTGTCAAAGTCTAAACGATTTATAAAATTAATCTTAGTTTTAACAGAACTCAAGTTTACCAACATCAGTCACTTTGTAACCAAGATTGATGGTAGCATCGGATAAGATATTGAATTCTCTAAAAGCATGCCTCCAAGACATGTGGTCAATGCATGAACCACTCTTCTTTTCTTTTTTCTCTAACTTTTTAAATCCATCAATTCCCATTTTCAGTGACAATTTTCCAACCCAATCACCAAAAGGAAAGATCTACATAAATTCCATGTCGAAATCATCAGCGATCTTATCGGAAGCATTTGAAACATTATGAAATTAAGCGTAGATAGATAAGACTGCCTTTTTCCTTATAGCACGCAGTAGCAAAATTACCTTTGAAGGCAAAGTAGAAATGTAAAATTGGCTAGAAAATATGAATCTTCCGTTCATGTCAACATTACCTTGTTTAATAAAAGTGAATTTTGAAAGTAACCTCCCTTTTTTTCATGCTTTTATCGTTATAATTTAACATGGATTAGGCAGGTTG